GCAGCAGCAGCTGATGCTGCAGTGGCAGCTGATGCTGCAGTGGCAGCTGCTCAGGCTGTAGCTGCTGTGATCCGTTTGACTTCTGCTTCCAATGGAACATCAAAAAGCATTGAAGAAGCTGCTGCCATTAAAATCCAATCTGCCTTTCGCTCTCACCTGGTATTTCACTTTCAAGGAAGCTAGTTTTGTCTTTCATTCTCAAGGGAATGAATTGTATTGGTATTTTTGAGTATCTGAATTTGTGATATGGTATGTGTTGTCAATGTTTCTATGACAGGCAAGAAAAGCATTGTGTGCTCTTAGAGGATTAGTGAAGTTGCAGGCACTAGTAAGGGGTCACTTGGTGAGAAAACAGGCCAAGGCAACATTGAGATGCATGCAGGCTTTGGTGACAGCACAAGCCAGAGCTCGTGCTCAAAGGGTCCGAACAGGGTCAGAAGGAAAGCCTAATCAAAAGCAACCAATGCACAGAAATGCCGCAGAGGATGATTTGTTCAGGCGCATGTATAATGTCAGTTTCATAACTGCTCCTAATTATCTTTTGATAGTAATATAGTTCTTGAAAATGAAATCTTCACCGTTGAAGTGATATAAAATATACATAATGTCAATGATGATGGTGGGAAATTATCTGAGGAATGAAAATGTTTGTTTATTAGCATTATCTTTTCAGCATGATACATAATTTTACATAAAAAGAAAGTAATAAATTTCATTTTGAATTATATGTTAAAGCACTCTAGGAAATGTTGTTATGTGGTGTCATTGATATGAAATATGGAATCTGTGCTTCTAGGAAATGGACAGAAACTTGGAAGATAACATCAAGATTGTAGAGATGGATGTTTGTGAACCAAAAGGTAACTCCAGAAGCAGAAGCAGCGGTGTGTATCATCATGGACATCACAAGCAGTCTGACCATAGATATTCCACACATTATTCAACAAATGGTTCATATTCAAAGGAAGAAAACTACAAGGTATCACCAGCTCCATCAGCATTGACAGAGTTGAGTCCAAGAGCCTGCAGTGGCCATTTTGAGGACTGTTTCAGCACAGCACAAAGCAGTCCACAGTTCTACTCTGCTGTGTCAAGAACAGACGATTCAAAGCACCCTTTTGCTTTCCCTAGGCCAGCTTATGCAGAATCCATGTCCTATGACTACCCTTTGTTCCCAAATTACATGGCTAACACTGAATCATCAAGAGCCAAAGTCAGATCACATAGTGCACCAAAACAAAGACCAGATTCATTTGAGAGGCAACCAAGCCGGCGAAGAGTTTCGGTTGAGGGAAGAAACGTCCCAAGGCCAATGAGGATGCAAAGGTCATCTTCACATGTGGGTGCCACTGCCCATAACTACCAATATCCTTGGTCGATCAAACTTGATAGATCCGCAGTTTCACTCAAAGACAGCGAGTGTGGCTCTACAAGTACAGTGCTCACTAACACTAATTATTGCAGGTCTCTTGTTGCATATGACGTGAGTACTCACTATTCTCATACCAGTTTTTATCACAGTTGAATACTAGATATAAACAAGAACAATAATTAAAGAGTAACCATGTTTAATAATATATATCTGTATATAAATGAATGTGTCTGTACTCTTTGTCACTTAAAGTTGTTTAAATACAAATTTAGAAGTATTTTTGAGAATTTTTTCTACTAAAAATAATTTTTTATAATTTTTTTTTTTATAAATAGATGAATGATATATATATATATATATATATATATATATGTATGAATTTTTTTTTTCAGCAGTAATGTCAATAACTATATTGGGTATGAATTTTTTTTTTCAGCAGTAATGTCAATAACTATATTGGGTATGACAATGTTTTCTCATTGCTTGCTTTGAATGCAGCCACGTGGAGATAGGTACTGACTATTGAGGATGCACCTTGTGCAACACCAAATAGAAGCCACTTTTCAAGAACACAAAAATCTGGAGTTGAGAGTTTCAGGTTGCTGAGTTTTCCTCCTTTAAGATTAATAACTCTGCTTTCACAATATAGAGTTGTTGATAGATTTATTAAAGTCCATTCATCGTAGACTTTCTGCTTCTATTCATTGTTTGCCAAGTTTGTGAATTACTTTGTAATAAAACACAGTAACGGTTTATGTTTTGTATAAATTTTACCAAGTGAGATATTACCAATGTTATTTGTTATTGTTTTCTCCTTTTTGGCAAAACAAATAATAATATTGTATATTTTTGTACTCTGTAGTGAGTAATAATACTGATGAAAGCAATTCACAGTAGCAACTTACACGAGGACATCTCCTGGAGTAAAGAAAATTACAATAAAACAAAAAGAATAAGAAATTGAAAGAATTATTAAATGGTCGTCCCGTTAATTTCAGATTTTTTTTAATAACATTCTGGTATTAAATGATCATTTAAGTTTCATTGACTTTAACTTTATGGTCATAATGTAAAACTCTTCTTCAAGTGTTCCTTCTGTTCTGTTACTCAAGACGTATTGATCATATGAAGATTAATATAAATTGCTATTTAGTTAAAACTTACACGCACCGTACATGAACTATATCTCAATACAATTCACTAACATTTTAGAATATCTGGAATCATGTATAGAATGGCAGGTGGCATGAAAGGCGTGACTGGAACATTGCAAAATGTTATGTTTCTTGCTGATCTGAACTGCTCTTCCTGTCCCTTTCATTATCTGGAATTAATCAAAGAACAAGAAGCCATAATCTTGTGACCATTCCAAAACAGATCTATTCTATAACCTAAAGCCATCCCCTGTGGCCCATCAATTATATATGGTTGGATTATTCTAGGGGCATGTTTTCTTAATAATATAACAAAAAACGCTATATAGTTGAAAATAGAGTGCACTTTATATATGCTCAGCTCTAAAGATTTTGAGGATGACAGTTCTTGTGTATAAAATAAACGTGAGTTGAAAGATTCTTATGCTATCAACCAAGTAGCAACTAACAATGTGTAAAATCGAAGCCTTTTCATCCTACCCTGTTCATTTCCCATCTTGGTTTTCGATTTTGTTATTCAATTTTTCACCTACTCAGACAACGACGACTTTATGTTTACCGAACCCATATACCAATCTGCTTCAAAACTCCATACCCTTTAGCATCAAGTTATAAAATTCTTCACTTATAATTGTTTATTGACGAATGCTTTTTATTCGAAATTTTTAAAAAGAAGACTCCAATGATATAGCTGACATCCTGTTGTTTGTGTTTTACTTGGTCTAAGCCGCTCTGTTATGGTACATTGACTTCAGGGAACCAACATTCTAGAAAACCTACGGCATATACGCCAGCTTTCTGTTATGTATAGTTTCACTTAAAAAAAAAAAAGTAACATCGTTACGCTTTATACATCCAATAAAATATATATATTATAATTTTTACTTATATGTTAAAAAATTCATTAATTTAATGGACAATTGTTTTGTTGAAGGTAAGGATGAGAGATTCAACTCTTATCTTTCACATTTTTTGATAATTTTTTAATTTTATTTTCACATCACATGTCAATGTTAGTATTATTATCATGTCAAGTATCATGTTATATTATTAAATTTTTAAAAAGATTAAAATTATATAATTATGATATTTGACATATATTTAATTTGTTCAATTGAAAATTTTGAGAATTCCAATTACATAACTCAAAAAATTAAAAGATCAAAAGTATATTTAATTTTTTTAATAATTAAAATATATAATTTTTCTACTTAGTTCAACTCATTTATATATCTGTCTATTTTGTTATCATACATTGAAATCAAATTAAAATTTGAATATATTTGGATTTCAAAAATATGACTTTTTATTTTAGTTTTTGTGAAATTTTATTTATTTATAGTTCTCAAATATCATTAACGAAATGGTCTGTTTTAGTCGAGTGACAAAAATGACATTAATATTTTTAAATGTAATAACCGCGAAAGAATAATTAAATATTATAGGATTAAAAATGTCATATTTTTAGCGACAAAGAACTATATTTTAAAATATATATATTATTTGATATTATGGACGGCAGTTTAACATAATGTATGTATTTAGCAGTGCAATCTTCCTATAGTACATATTATTATATAAATGACGGTATGGTGTAGTTGGTTCATTAGTGTTTAACTTTTTTCTTCTGTCCCCTTTTATTTTTAATAAAATAAAACGATGAGAGAAGAGAAGTGATATTTTCCTTGGCTATCTAGTGTTGCTTGACTTTGATCGGCTCTCAATCCTTTATGATAAGTTTCATTTTACAAGTTGGAAAAAATTAATTAAACAGGTTTCATATCGCCAGAAAATTATTTCCTTAGATTTTTTTTCTTCTTAAATTTCAAGCATGCTTGAATAGACCATGTTGCCAAGTTTTATTCTGATCTTGGATCTTACTACCTACTCAAACGTCTTAAGTCTAACTCATTATGAAGACTTGGTTTCATTAATTTCACTGAGATTTTAATTTGGAAGGAATTGAATTGTATAAAATTTTAGTAAACGACACCTATTTATGCCGCTTGAATTACATGAAGTGGTCACATTAATTGAATGTAACAAGACAACAAATGTAGCAAGTGTTACTCTAATTTGCTTGTGGAAGAAATGAAAAGATTGAAAGATACTTGAAAAACAGGGACACATGGAATTGAAGAGTGTTAATTGAACGTAAAAACGATATAATATGGTCTAACCTATCAACTTCATAGCTTTGCTTTCAGACACAGCATAAACATTTGTTGACTTTTGGTACAAATTGTGTCTAGTATTGTATCACGGGTTTCTGTCAGATATCATTGCTCAACTACAAAATATAATGACCATTAAGATCATGTGTCATTAAATTAATAACACTTAAAGCATTATTTTTTATTTTTCTAAAATGAGGTTATGTAAGGTGAGAAAGTGAGAACTTATCTATTATAAATTCTTACTTTCTCATTTTATACATCTTCTCACTTAAAAGTTAATTTCTTTTCTTTTTTGTAATATTAAATAGAAAACAAAATGATTTTTTTTTTATTTCAAGAGTACTTTTTAAGAAATCCTTATTAGATAATGCTATTTTTTTCTCAAATGTTTGTCTCTTAAATATAACAGTTGTGTGATTTTAATTCCTTAAATTTTAATTAAATAATTTTAGTCTTCAAGTATTATAGTTATGTAATTTTGATTTCTTAAATTTTAATCAACTAATTTTAGTCTTTAAAATATTATAATAATAATGTGATTTTAATCCTTCAAATATAATAATTATACAAGTTTTTACCTATTTAAATTATATATATTAGTATATAATTATAATATTTGAAGAACTAAAATCTTACAATTACAATACTTGAATACTAAAATTAATTGTTCTATTAGAACTTTGACAACCAAAATCATATACTTGTAATACTAGAAGGAATAAGGTGTAATTAAGCTTATTTTCTTTATATGACTAGAAGTTATAATTTCTTTCCATCAAGTCAATCCGTTTTATAGATAAAATAATATTTTTAGTTATAACTTCATATTTAAAGTAGGAATCAAATATTAATTTTTAATTAAAAAATACATATATCAAACTATTTGTAATAACAATTTTTTGGTAATTCCAATATTCCTTTTCTCTTTAGATGACATTTTCTTAGCCTGATCATATGTTTATTTATTCACCAATTATAACTTCTGGGAAGCAAATTCTTGTATATGGACTTCAATTTAGAATCTAAACTAAAATGTTAATCCTTTAATCATTTAAACTTCAGATAACAAAAATAAACTGATTTTACTGTAATTTAACATAATCTGGAATTTTCTTCATAAATTATATTTAGAAATCAAATGTAGCAAATAGTTTATCTCACAGCCAATGTTAAATTATGCCCGGCCCATTTGCTGGGTCAATCGAATGCGATGGAGAATCAATTTACTAATGGCTAGTTTCATAGTCAAAGGGAATAAACATATATATTTGCTTATAAAAATAGGCAAAATATGGTAAAAACCGTGTTTTTGGTGAGATCAGGCACCAATTTCCTTCCAGCCACCAACAAACATCAGCATTTGCTATGCATGCCAGTTCATTTGCCAATTTGCTAATATGTACCGCTAAAAAAAGTGCATACAGAATAAGAATGAAAAGAGTAATACTTTGGTTTTAGCATCTTGAATTAGGATTGTAACTAAAATAGTGATTTTATTCCATATTTGGCGTGTTGCTTCCAACATCTCCATAGAATTTAAAAGTAGGAAAACACAGACAGTGATAAAATATTAATATTTTTTAATCTAATTTAGGTCTAATTTGAGCGAGTTGAATATAAAGAAGATTATAAGCATTGAGAAACCAGCTTTTAATATATAAAAAAAGGGGAAAGAATGTACCTAAAAATAGGGATAAACTAAAGAAATTATAGAAAGCAGCTAGCAATGTTTAAGTCTAAGTCACATTGGTCATTATCCCAAAATAAAAGTCTACAATAATTATCAAAAGTTGTTTTTTTAGATGTAATGTAGTAGTCCATGTAAATGTCTAACCAAAACAATGTCTCGTTATTTTATGAGAGAGAGAGTAATGTCAATTTGCATCTCACCAAACTTGAGAAATATCCCCAACACCTTTATATATATATATAAATCCAAGTTCATTCTCGTGACACAAAATCACTAGTAAACAAGAAAAACCAAATTCATTAATGGCCTCTCATTCTCCAAAGAGAGAAGGCCCTTATCTTAATGTACTATTCCTCTTTGTGATTCTCATCTCCATCATCAACCCCTCACACCAAGCTTCTTCCCCTACTCTGCCCCCTCTAAACCCTAGACTCTCCAAAGCCTACACTGCCCTTCAAGCATGGAAACACTCAATCACCTCAGACCCCAAAAACTTCACTTCCAACTGGTGTGGCCCCCATGTATGCAACTACACCGGCATATACTGTGCACCTGCCCTAGATGACCCTTACATCTACACAGTGGCTGGAGTTGACCTAAAACATGCCCCCATCTCCGGTTCACTCCCTCAAGAACTTGGCCTCTTAACCGACCTAGCCCTTTTCCACATCAACTCCAACCGCTTCTGCGGTTCCCTCCCCAACACCTTCGACCAACTCACCCTTCTCCACGAACTCGACATCAGCAACAACCAATTCTCAGGACCATTCCCCGAGCCTCTTCTTTGCCTCTCTTCATTGAAATACTTGGATATCAGGTTCAACAACTTCCACGGCAACGTCCCCTCGCGCCTCTTCGACCTCAAACTCGATGCCCTTTTCATCAACAACAACAACTTCCAATTCTCCTTGCCTCAGAATTTCGGGAACAGTCCTGCTTCTGTGGTTGTGTTTGCCAACAATGACCTCAAGGGGTGTCTTCCTTCGAGCTTGGTCAACATGAAGGGTACCCTTAACGAGATTATCATCATGAACAGTGGCTTAACGGGGTGTTTGCCACCGGAGATAGGGGACTTGGAGAAAGTAACAGTGTTTGATGTCAGCTTCAATAAGTTGGTTGGAGAATTGCCTGAGTCATTGGGGAGAATGAAGAAGTTGGAACAGCTGAATGTGGCGCATAACATGTTGTCTGGCACGGTTCCCGAGAGTGTTTGCATGTTGCCGAGGTTGGAGAATTTCACGTACTCGTATAACTACTTCTGCACTGAGTCACCGCTGTGTCTCAAGTTGAAAGATAAAGATGATGCCAAGAATTGTCTTCCTTATAGACCATTGCAAAGGTCACGTGAGGAGTGTGAAGCTTTTTATGCACATCCTGTTCAGTGTAGTGCCTTCGGTTGTGTAACTCCACCGCCACCGCCACCTCCGCCGCCTCCACCACCGCCACCGCCTCCACCACCACCTCCGCCACCACCACCACCACCGCCGCCGCCCCCAGCGGCTTACTACCACTATCCCTGAGGAGCCATGGCAGAAATAAAAATTTTTAATTTTTTTTTCTTTTCTGAATTTGTTTCTATATTTTTTTGGAGATTGAAAGACTAGCTCAGTGAATATAATATTACACGTGGTTTTCATTTTTGGTCATACTTTTACCTTGTAACAATAAAAATATAAAAGGGTGGAAATTGGCTATTTCCACTGTTCATTTGAAAATTTAAGGAGGTTTGGTTTGAGACTTTGAGAACAATGGGTTGTTAATATGGGTCATGTGACATTCATTCTCTCGTCACTAACGAAAGTAATTTTCTTAAAAAATCATTATATAATGTTTTCTGGATAAGTGGAAAAGAAAGTTGAATTCTATTATGTTTGTTCGTCGCTGCACGTAATAACAATGGAAATTTTGTCGAAAACGATGGAGAGGATCGGATATTTCTTATTGTGATCTTAAAAACATCATTTTAGAGGTAAAAAAAAAGTAACAATACTTCTTCTATGGAAATTGATTAATAGTACGAAAAAATTTTAACTGCAAAAGTTCGACGAATACTTGGTTTGAGTTCTGTTACTTTTTAGTTATTTTCCATGTTAATATATATCGTTTGTTCAATAACAAGTGGCTATATCTTTCATCGATCACGATCACCATCATTTCATGCAATATTTCTTTGTACTAATAAATGGAAAGAATATTGTTTTGCTATTCAAAACAAATTCATCCCTTGCCTAGTCAATGACAACGATTTATCTTTATATATTATAAATAAATGTCAGATGGGGAGTCCTTATCAGTTTATCACTTTATCTCTAGTAATTGTCAATGTTTATAAAAGGAATTATTCTATTTCGTCTACATTATTTCAATAATTTTATTTTTATAATTATCTCGATTACTCTTCTTTTTTTATTATTTTTATTTAGTTTTTATTATTTTCTTAGTTTTTAAACTTTTTAAAACTGTTAAAAAACAATTCGTATAATTATAACTACTTAAAAATTATCTATATTATTAACAAATTTTATTTTATTTTTTATTTTTTAAATTGTTAATAACTCACTTTTATTTTATATTTTAGAAGTATATGGTGACACAAAATATTTTTTGATACTGGTATATATAGGTGAACTAATTCAAATGACGTATAATTTAAATCGAGTATCGTCAAATAATTATAAAACTTAGTAATTAAGGCAAATACTCAGATCAACACTTCTAAAGTTTTTTCTCCTATATATAAGTCTGATCAATAAGTCACTTTCTTCACCCTTTGTGTTTAATTTTATACTTCCACTTATCTATTGAAATATGAATAACTATATTATATATTACTTACATTTTAATTAAGACTTATGATCAATATATAATTCTTAAGACAAACTTATCAGTAAACTAAGGCAATAGAGATCATAAATGCAATTATAAGTTATTGTCAACAATTAATTAAAATTCACGTAATAATAAAAATTGGATTAAATTATACTCTAGATTTTCATCTTATTTTTTAATTTATTTTATTCCTTTTGTCTTTTAAAATATTTATTTTAATCTTTTATCTGTTAAAATTAGGTTAATTTAGTCCTTTAATTTTTTTTGACTAATTCAATATTTAAAACTTGTCTTATAAGATTTAGATTAATTTAATTATTTTAAATATTTTTTAACTGATTTAAGACTTAAAATTTGTCTCATAAAATTCAATTATAAGAAAATTATTGGATTTAATTAAAGTTCAAACTAGATATGCTATAAATATGATGAAAATATTTTTTTATAAAAAATTTCAAAATATTTTCTATTTTTTCATAAGATGTATATTTTATACAACTTTCACTATATTTATAAAAAAAATTTGGATTCAAACATCAATTACATTTTGATAATTTTTATACAAATAAATCTAATATTACAAGTTTCATGTTTTAAATCAGTTGAAAAATTGATTCAAAAAAATCATGTCGCAATATTAAAAATATTTATCATTTTAAAATGACTAAATTAATTCAAATATAAAAAATAAATGATCAAATAAATATTTTAATAAATAAAAGATTAAAATAAATCTAAAAAAATAAGATAAATGATAAAAGTAAATTTTAGCCTTAAAATTAATTAAATAATTAGTTAATAATTCAGTCTTGTAAAAAAAAAGTACATTGTTGACATTTACAAAGAAGTGTTCATATATGGTCGGAGATTTGAGAAAAACTCAGTTTCTACCTATTCATTTTCTTTTATCTTTCTCTTATATTAAATAATCAATAATAATTCTATTTATTTTCACGTCATTTTCTTTTATACGTAAGTTTTTCTTTTCTTTTCATATTCATCGTATCAAAGTAGGCGTAATGGTTTGACTATATAATATAGAATAGAACGTGGGTTGATTTAGTCAATTGAAATTTAAACATAATAAAATATTTTTGTTTGGTAGTTGTTGTCCTTTAAAGTCGTGTTTGCATTAATGGGGGAAAGAATATTAGAGGGTTTCAATTGAAGTAAAGACGTTGGTAACAGAAAATGCATGTGGGTGAAATATTACTGTGAAATTACACTTCGCTTCCAAGAGACTGAGTTGATGCTGTTTTACATACTTGACAGGTGTAATTGTCCGAAGCTACTCTAGTCATTTTCTTCTATGTAAACTTCAATTTTAGATTGTTTTTTTTAAGAGTTTTAGCTCTCCAAATCCATTAATGTTTCCTTCACCATTTTACAAAACATTAAATCACAAGATATTTGTTTCAGGAACCAATTAATAGAATCACCATATTTACATTCCTTTTGTTGAAACATAATGTTTCCTCCCTTGACATTCATTGCCCCTAAAACCTTCTCCAAGTATCACATTACCAAGTCATTATCGAGACAATTATTTTTTTTTATTAACTTTTCATGATTGCAGCATCAAAATCAAGTTAATAAAAACATAAACCCTTCAAAAGGGCTTGATCACATAAATCAGTATGACAACTACATAAACATAATTAAAAGACAAAATTAAAATCCTACTAACATAATGATCTACAGTGGCCGTACTAGAAAACTAAGATAAGCTAAGATAAATCAGAATGACAACTACAAAAAACGTGAACTTTAATTACCTTTCATCGAGTTTCGTTGTCCATCAAAGAGGGCTTGAGCTTCCTCGATCATCGTTCGTCAAAGATGAGTTGAGCTTCCTCGATTGATGTCCATTGAAGAACAAAAACAACACAAAAGGATTCCTAGATCACCAGTCGATGATTAGTAAAAATTAAAAAAGGTTCTTAGTAATCATAAGACGTCAATGTGTTTCATGTGCAAGAGAGACAAAGAATGAGAACATGATATGATCAATGTTCGCTGATGTGAATTTGAGACATTCCATTCTACATCAATTACCCACAAAAATAATATAGAACAGTTTTAAACTTTCAATTCTATATTGATCACTAACAAAACTAGGGTAAAATATCGGTTCTATATATAATCAATGTAAATATATTTACATTTTTCACTTACATCAATTTTGGTAAAAATGATGTAGTGGCGATGTTGAATAGTAGATTCGTAGTAGTAACGGCGAGCAATGCGATGGAGTTGTTTGGGCTGGTGGAAGTTGCAATGGGCTGGAAGCTGGTTTTAGTTTAAACACAGGCTTGAGCTATCTCTTGTGTATGTTGTGGGGTCGAATAATTATAGCATGCCACAAAGATTGCAATGATTTCTTTATGCTAGATAAACTGCAACAAATCAAACTGTTTTCTCAAGTTTGGTTTCTTAATTATTTTCATTCTTTTAATTGTTTTAGTCTCTTAATTTTTTAAAATTTATTTTTATCCTCTAATTTAAAAATGTTTCACTTTTATTTTTAAAATAGTTTAGATACACATTATAATTCAGGTGAATACAAAAAAGTAATTTAGATAACGTTTAAAAATTGACATAAAATATTATTTAAATTACTTTGAATATCAAAATGTTGTATATTTTTAAATTAGAGAAATTAAAATAAAATAATGTTTTTTTAAAGGATTAACATCGAACTTGAGATACTGAAATTTGTTTTATAGAAAAATTGTAATTCTTAAATTTTTTATATTATATTATAAATTAAAAATGTGATTTAAAGGTTTTTTTTTTTCATTTTACGAAATAAATATTCTCTAACTTCTATTTAAATGCTAATTTCACACACTATTTTTGTGATTAAAAGAAAGTCCTCTCTTGAACCATGTTGAATCGTCTATCTCTTCGATCTATTGTCATTTATCTTTCCTTATAATTTGAATTTTAATAGTTTTATTTTAAAAAATATACACAATAAAATACTAATTATACCTTTTATAACTTGAAAAAGAATGTTTTAGAAACAGCGGAGAGATTGCCGTGTGTTTCTTTCTTTCTTTTGCGGGGCAGGAAACATTTTTTTTGTAATTTAGGGAACAATTAAAGAGGCCAAGATGAGGTCCATGATATAAAGCCCAGCCCATACAACAGCCGCTATTCAACATGAAAGGCTTAGATTATGAAAAGCCCAAGCCCATGGAAGGCATCAGGAAAACCCTAATTTATTGAGATTGAAGATAATAAGAAAGAGAGAGAGAGAGAGGTATATAAGAGGCTAGGGTTTGGGGTTTTGTGGGTGCCATTGTCGCAGCTGCTGTTATTCGCACCGCAACGCAAAGCAAACAGTGAGCGATGGCCGTCGGAAAGAACAAGCGCATCTCCAAGGGGAAGAAGGGTGGCAAGAAGAAGGCGTCAGTATTTTCCATTTCAATCCCCCTTTTTCTCTCGTTCAATTTTTGTTAGCGTTAATAATTCAACTTCAATTATGGTTTGTGTATGAATGTGCAGAGCTGACCCCTTTGCCAAGAAGGATTGGTACGACATCAAGGCTCCTTCTGTTTTCCAAGTCAAAAATGTTGGCAAAACCCTAGTCTCTCGTACTCAGGGTACCAAGGTATTGCTTTCTGAATTTTCAACGCACAATTTGGATTTCACTTTGTATTGTTGGTTTTTTGTTGATGGTCGCTTGTATAGGTTTTTGAAATGAGAAATTTGTGAGGTTATAGCTTGGACTTGTGTAGTGATTGTTGTGTTGGATCTATTTCTTTTGTTTTGGTCAATTTCATCCAATATCTGATTTTTTTTTATTTACTTAGTGAACTTAGAGAGAAGTTAAACAGAATGGTAGCTCCCTCGTTTGGGCTTTTGTTCTCCATAGGTCTCTATTGGATATGGGAATGAACTAATTTTGGTTTGAAGTGTGCACTTATTGCATATTTGGTTCTATGGGAAAATGATAGTTTATGAATATTTAAAGTGGCTGCTAACAGTTACTTATCTTCATACGTGTTATGGCATGTGATTTGGTGTTTATAAACTTTGTATGCTTATATGGATGGTGGTTGTTTCAAATTACAGATTGCTTCAGAAGGACTCAAACATAGAGTGTTTGAGGTCTCGTTGGCTGATCTTCAAGGGGATGAGGATCATGCATTCAGGAAGATTAGGTTGAGAGCTGAAGATGTTCAAGGGAAGAATGTTCTGACAAATTTCTGGGTATGATAGATGGCTGAAGCGTCTTTTGGTTGTAATGTTGTCCTATGTTATTCTTATCAAATTTGGTTTTTCTTTTGATTTTTTCTAGGGAATGGATTTCACAACTGACAAGCTGAGGTCATTGGTGCGAAAATGGCAAACTCTCATTGAAGCCCATGTGGATGTGAAGACAACTGATAATTACACTTTGAGGATGTTCTGCATTGGATTTACCAAAAGAAGAGCTAACCAGGTCAAGAGAACCTGTTATGCACAATCCAGCCAGATTAGACAGGTATATACACCAATATTTGTTAGTTAGATGTCACATATTTTTGCTATCTATTTAATTTTATTACAGAAACTTGTTCTCTGTGTTCAACATGTTACTCAATGCTCATGCTACAGGTTGCTCTTTAATCGAAGTTCATATGTTAAATAAGAAATTAGTGGGTTTGAGCTATAGAATATGTTGTGCTTTCTTCTATAATATTGCATATTAGTAATTAAGTTTACACTTTTATCTTTTCAGATCCGTAGGAAGATGAGGGAGATCATGACCAACCAGGCAACATCCTGTGATTTGAAGGAGTTGGTCCGTAAGTTTATTCCTGAGATTATAGGAAAAGAGATTGAGAAGGCAACATCTAGTATTTACCCTCTGCAGAATGTGTTTGTTCGTAAAGTCAAGATCCTTAAAGCTCCCAAGTTTGATCTTGGAAAACTGATGGAGGTAATTTAAAAAAAATAAATAAATTTCTTCATTTTCTTTTTGATCATACATCATGAAAATATTTCATAATGTCCTTTACCTGAATAAACTTGATTGTCTAGTGTGTTTGGTTTTCTATTAAGAGATAACCTAATGACCAGTTGCATGCTTGGCAATTTGTTTATTCTGTTTAATATAACCAATTTCCTTAACGATTTATGTTAAACAAAAATTAGCATACTTTGTTGCAGTGTTTTAAAACCCGGACCGACCCAGCCGGTCGGACCGGTTGGACCGGGAACCGGTGGTCCAGCCGGTTCGAATCTGAAGTTGGATCGGTTATGCAGTCGACCCGTTTCAAACCGGATTGAACCGGTCAATTTTCCGGTTCAACCGGTGAACCGGTGGGTCAAACCGGTTCAACCACTTTTTTTTCTTATTTTTTTAAAAAAATTTTAAGGGACCATAAATCACAAAAATAATAATGAAAATTGAATCTCTTAATGAAAAAGCAAGGAGTCTTATTAAATATAACAATGACTACTTGTTCTAATATATTTGTTTGCGATATATACAACTTAAATAACTTTTACAGTATATTATTAATTTTAAATTATATATTTAATAATGTAATATCTATGTAAATATTACATATATTATTTTGTGATATTAATTGCAAGCATATTATATATGTACATATTATTTATATTTTTAATTTGTATTAATATACCGTTTAACATGTAATTTTTTTATGTATTTTTTTACAAAATAAAAATAAAAATAATTTTAAATAAGATAGAAAAATTGAAATTTAAAATAAGATATGAATTTATTAAAATTTATAAGTATAAAATATATTTAATATAAATATTTTTTAATAAAAATTGAGCCATGCAGTTCAACTAGTGACCCACCGGTTCAACCTTTGACCCACTGACCCAGTACCTTAACCGGTTCGATGACCGGTCCGGTTTTTAAAACTATGCTTTGTTGCTTTCTAACTGCTTCATTTCCTTCACCAAATCTGATGATTCAGTTGACCCTTGTTGATTGTCATGTCTTGCCTAGAAATTGATGTTTTCACTTGCATATATTTGTAACCTGGTTAGTGGGCAGTGGATTGGTTTGATGCCTTTGCTTTTTGGCTATTGTAGGTTCATGGTGATTACTCGGAAGATGTTGGTACAAAGGTAGAGAGACCTGCTGATGAAACAATTGCAGAGGAACCCACCGAAATTGTTGGAGCTTGATTTAGTGAAGATGCATTCAGTTTGTTTTAGGTTTCCTGTTTCTAATGTTATCATTGAAAATTAAGTTCAAAACTTCTGTTCGATGTTTATGTGTAAGGCGAGTGAACCAGTTTTGTTTTGACAATCAGAAGACATTTTTGTCTCGCAATATATATATCTGGGTTTTGTTCGGGACCCAAAATTAGATCCGTGCTTGCTTATAGTGATATTGACATCATATCATTCTTAATATTATGCATTTTTTTGTCACACTGACTTGTTGATTCAGTGATTACTCCTTAGTGCTTAGTGTGTACATCGTTAGTTTATGGTTTGCATACAATTTTAACGATGAATTGTTTCGTGAGTAATTGACATCAGCATATAGTACTTGAAGGTATTATAATATCAATATAGTTTAAGATAATATCGCTGTATTTATACAGTGATTTTGTCTTCTTTTTTTAACTCTTTTAGGGTGGTTGGATTTTTTAACAGTTTAGAGGTGCGTGTTAATTACATCATTACATACTTGCTATTGAGATTATTTGATTTAATTTGTGTATTTGCATGATATGATATTATATTTATGAAACAGGAAGCTCGATTTTTGAAATTGACACAGTTTAGTTAATAATAAAGCCAATTAAAAGTGTTAGACATGGTCATTAATTTGCTCATGCGATAATGGAGATAAGATTCTTGTTTATTGATTTGTGCAAGACTCCCATGTCCTACATCTAATTCCCTATAATAGTCGTTTAACACAAGTCAAAAGAAAAGATGTAATAAATTTTTCTATTATACTCTTATTTTTGTTTTATAATAAATGTATTAGTTATGTGTAATTAATTAGAAATCAAGTAATATGTAAAACTATAATTTTTAATATAACAGTTAATATTGCCTTTGAAAGTGACAAGCAAATAAAAATAAAATTTTATTAAAAATTTGACATAAGAAAACAACGAAAGGAGTATTTTATTTTGAAGAAACAAGTGAGTGTAATCCGTTGTTTTAATTATAAAAAAAGACCTATTTACTGATGTATAATATTTTAACTTATTTAGCAATCCTAATTTATTGTAAATTAATTAATCATGTCTACTCTGTTTCCGAAGCGGATGAATTTTTTTTTATTGGTTATTTATCGTAAGTCACATTTATTAGAGAAAGAAGTTATTCCTTAAATTACATATAAAATTAAATATAACTAGAAGTATTTAATTTTGAGCATTTTTGAATAAAAAAGAATTAATTAAAATTAACTATACTGTGTTAGTTCTGATAAAGCATGACAGAGAGAATATATATTTGCTCAAGGCGGATGTGTGAACTGATCCTAAATTAAACATTTAATTTTATCATTACACAAGACTGAACTGATCCTTAATTAAAATTTGATAATATGATTACTACAACTTTTAAGACATCATATCGTCATGAAAATAAGGTACAAACTTGTTGGCGAATTGTGGAAATTAGAGTATGATCATAATATGTTGGTTATGGATGCTACGGACGCTTGTATCATAAATTAAAATATGCAATTCATCACTAGAGTTGACATGGTTGTAGAGGATCGTTGGAAAGAACACTGAACATTACCATATCTCTACTCTTTCCTTTAATGATGACGTACTTCCTGAGAACTCCCTCCCTTTGAAAACCAGCCTTCTCCAGCACCCTCTGAGAACCCACATTTTCCACATCAACTAGACCTTGTAGCCTCTCCAAGTCTGGAAACTCCCTGAATGCACCTTTAACCACTTGTTTCACTACATGTGTTACAATCCCTTTACCCCAGTATCTCCACCCTAAAGCGTACCCAATTTCAGCTGATTTGCCCCTATTTCTACCCTTGCCCGAACATAAGCACAAATCAATACACCCAATTGCACGATCATTGAGACAAATTGCCCTGAACCATAGAGATTTGCTTGCAATATTTTGGATGAAGTTAATGCCATCCTCTTTGCTAGTGTAAGGTTCCCAAGTGCAATACCTGGCCACCTTTTCATCAGTGGTCCACAACATGAGATCATCAAGATCATCAAGACTAATGGGTCGGAGAGAGATTTTGGTCAAATCAACACCCTCTTCTCTGGCACTTGTTGTGGAACAAGTAGAAGCTCCCTCCATCATCTTGGCATGGATGAATCAATGGCTTGGTTATTATATATAATAAATTATGTAGAGCTTTGGCCTACTTACATCATTTATGTGGAGGAATGCTATGCTTGGAGTAGGGCCAAGAAAACTATGCGCTAAATTACAATATAGTTGCTAGCCGCCATGATTTATTATGTTTAATAGGTGTTGCAATTCAATTGAAGGGAAAACTATTACTTTTTAGAAGTTCCTACAAACTGACAAATCACGTAAATCATGTGTTCATATTATTATTATTAAAAAGCCTATCATTTGTTTCTTTAGGAAAAAAAAAACGAAGTGCTCCACTGCCCCTTAAAAAAGGCTCTATTATTAACCAATAGAATATCGCCTACATCTTTTTTCTTTTTTACCAACGGAATATTGCCTGCTCACACAATTGACGTCACAACAGTTTATTGAAATCAAACTGAAATCGGTGCCATTATGCACAATTCTAAAATTAAAACAGTATACGTTGGGTTATTCTCTTATAAATAACGCTTGTTCAAAAGCTGTCATGAAGTAATGGAAATGAAATGTGAAAGTAATAATAAACTACCGATGAGTTGGCATAATATAATTCCGCGAACTCTTTATTTTAGATTGCCTTACAGTGAAACAAAGTTTCCATCTCATCAGAAATTAAATGTTGAAGAAGTGAAAGACTTTATTTTCTGCTCTGTGCTTTCATATCTTGAACATTGTTAAACATGACAGCGCAACTCCTTAAGCTAAAATGTCGCTCAGTACAAGTCCTTTCAAAGCTAAAACATACTGATCAGACATAAATTACTATGACCAGGTAAAGGCTAACAGAATTTTTACCAGCTAAAATTAAAAATTGATATGCTAGATTAGACACATACCAAGTCAAGAAAGTACTTACAACAAAATGATTCTAAATTTTCTCACCTAGTCCTCTTTAGTTGAAGGCCTAGAGCATCCACAGAACCCCTTCCGCTTTTTACTACTTTTCTTGCCACTCTGAATAAAGTCCCTAAGCAAGACCACTGTTTTCCCACTGAATCTGCTCTTCCCTTTGCTCTTTTCATCTACCAATTTCAGCAAAGTATATTGGATGTTCTGCACCTCAAATTGCAATCTTCCTATCTGTTCAGAACCTTTTCGTGCCTGCTCAGTTACTCTTTTCCTCTGGTTGTGTCTACTCTTTTCCAACTCGATCGAAGTCTCCCTGCTCAAAGACGACATGCTCTCATCAAGATCCTTTGTCAGTTGATCATTAGTATCTACCAATTTCACAACAGCTCCCTCAACTTCTTCTATTTGTCTTTTGACTGTTTCATATTCAGTGTCATCTCCTTTCTTGCTTCTCTTCTTTGTCTCCATTTTCATTTTCAATTCTTGCACAGTTGTCTTAAGAACGGTCAGTTTCTGCGAATCAGAAGCAAGCCTCTCCAATATCTTTCTCCTCTTGCCATCTTGAGTTCTCTCTTTTATACTTTTCGACAACAGAAGCCTGTCAACACCCAATTCCTTTTCCACATCCAATTCTGAAGAGGTATTTTGGAATTTGCCTGAATTATCTGACTGATGGTACGAAATAACATCCTCAGTTGGAACAGAACTTTGCTTCACTGCTTCATTGATCATTGAATTATCACAGCAATCCTGCTCGGCAGTTTCCCATAATTCAAGCATCTGATCATCAGTCCCACTGTTCTCTCTCCTGCAACTTTTGGAGGCTGGAGTATCTGAAATGTGATCAAGTGGAATGTCTTTCATCAAAGACCCATTTTCAGATTTTGTTCTGCATGAGTTGACATTATCCTTGAATACATTCTCTTCTTTTCTGTTGCCATTCTCTATGCATGGTGAAAATACCACATTTGGCACCTTTGTCAGAGCTCCTGGATTAGCTTTAGTGGTTAGATTTTCTGCCTTCACATGTCGTTCAATTTCTTCCACCATTGACTTTTCAACGGCTCTAATCCTTGCCTTCATGCTCAGCAAATCTGAAACCCCATCTGGTATCAAAGTACTTTTGTTGTCTGTTAAACTTTGATAGCCATTTTCTTGAAGACAAGTTTCCATTACTGCATCCTGGACAAACCAACATTCATCGTAAACAAGGATTAGTAGAATACATATCTCCTGTCCATGATGAATTAATTAATAAGAAAAAAGAGTAAAACAGAAGTACAGGGTAACAAGCCAAAATGGAATATTACCTTTTCTTCTTGATTGCATACAACAGTCTTTTTGTTCATCCGAAGTAGGGCAGTGTGTTCGAGAGAAGCAAAATCCTCTTTCAAAGAACTAATGACTGGTGTATATGCAGATAACTGCCCTTTCAGTCCTCCAAGTTCACTTTCCAGTAGGCCGACTCTTTCTGTCATCTGTTTAATCTCCAAGCTTTTTGCATCACTTTCATCTTCAAGTCTCATGCAAACTCCAGTAAGCTCATTTACCTTATTTTCCAGCAACGCTTCGTTAATGGACGAAATCTGAAGATCAAAATAGAATGTAGCAGCCTCAGCCTCCCAAAGTTCAAATTCATTTGTTTTACCCAGCAGCTCTGAACTCAATGTTTCTTCCCTGACCCGCTGTTGTTCAACTTCATGACGTAAGGAACTCATCTCAGACAGTAAACTTCTGTTTGCTTTGTTAAGGTGTTCAATTTCTTTTTGGTGATTAATGCATCCTTCTGATAGTTCAATAATTTGCCTCTCAAGATTTTCATTGATCAGTCCTAATTGTTGTTGTTCCATCTTCAATTTCTCAATATTTCTGCAAAACTCTGCACTCAACATTTCTGCAGCCTTTAGCCTTTCCTCCATTTCTAACAGCTCTTCATTCTTCTTCTCAAGAAGATGCTCTGAGCTTTCAATTTGACAATTTAAGTGGTCAGTTTCAGTTTTGGCTTCCTGCAAATCTTTGTCCATTCGCTCAACTGACTCTTTCAAGTAAACATTCTCTGATTCTTTAACGTCAAATTTCTTCCTTAATAGACCAAGCTCCTGTTTGAGGCCACTGTTCACAGTGTGAAGATTGCTGAGATGTTCAGCAAGTGCTTGTTGTTCCAAAACCTTCTCAGTAAGAAAGCTCTCATAAACCATAGTAAGGGTTTTTAGAGTCACAGCCTCGTGGAGGATTACACTGTTCTCTTGTTCAGCAGCAGACTTCGCATTTTTGAGGTGCAAAACACTCCCAAGTAGTGAATTTTTCTCCTCAAGTAGACTACAATTTTCTTCCTGGAACACTAGATTAGTTCTTTGCAAATCTATCAACTCCACATGAAGAGCTTCCAATTTGGACTGTAATTCATTCTCCTTTTCTTCTCCCTTGGTCACTTCAGACCTGAGTTGCCTGTTCATCTCCAGAAGTTCAAGTTTAACCCTCTGCAACATTGTATGCTGCTCTCTTGTGTTTGCAAACTCTTGCTCCAAGATCCTTTTCTCTGACAGCAGTATTCCTCCTTCGGATTCTTGTTGTGAAAGTACAGTCAGGAGGACAGAATTCTCTACAAGCAGCTGCAGCTTCTCCTCTTGGGCTTTCACAAGAGAGCCCTTCATGCCCTCAATAGTATTCAAAATTTGAGGAATAGGCAATTCCTCTTGCTTGACCCCTTTGGCATGTCTCCCATCTAAATCAACCTGAAGAGAACCGAGTACTTGATGAATCCCCATTTTAAACTTTCTGATTTCATCTAACAAGAACTCAAGCTCCATCTGTTGCATAAGGTTCTCACTCTCCAACTCAGAGATAACTTGATCAGTAAATTTTGATGCCTCCACATGTTTTTGACATTCAACTAATAAACCCATGTTCTTTTGCTCCAGGTCTTCAACACATTTTTGCAAAATGAACATCTCAACTTGAGCATTTACAGCTTTATCGAGTTGTTCTTCAAATTCCATCTTCCCCAACTGGTGTTCGTCCTGTAGCCGAATGACAAGATTTTCCAAATTGGCCATCCGAGCTTCACTTGAACGTTTATGATTAGCATGCTTTTCTTTTTGTGCCAAAAGCAGAGCATGAAGTTCTTCTACTTGACTTACTCTACTTTCTTTGTCTTTCTCCATATCAGAATATTTTTCTTCTAATTTTGTAAACCTTTTTTCCAGGTTACCTAGTTTTGCTTCAACACTCTCCAATTGAGATACCAGGGTGTTTCTTTCATTCAGAAGACTCTGCTTTTCATTGTTCAGCAAATAACAAAATTCTTCCAAACTACTTGATTTAGCCCTCAAACTTTCAAGCTCAAGTTTTGCATCAGAAAGGGACTTCTCCAGCAAGGTATTCTTTTCCAATTGATTCTGCATACTTTCAGTAATAATTTGTAACTGTGAAATTAGTGCTGATTTTTCAGCAACAATAGTGGATTTTTCTTCCTGCAGAACACCACAGGATTCTTGAAATTTCTTCACTGTATCTCTTAATCCATCCAGCTCATCATTCAAATTTGACAAGGAAGATTCCATAAAAGCATTTTCAGTTAAAAGTTTATCCATACCCTTAGACTTTTCACGAAGAGCTTCGTTCTCATCTTGCTCCATTTTGCATGCCTCCTTTAGCACAATGTTCTCCTTCTGTAAATCATTCACAAATTCTGCAAAAGACTTGGGATTCAAACCTACAGAGCCTAGTTCTTCCAGTATAGCCTGATATCTATTATTCAAGCCCTGGATTTCATCCTTTATGAGAAGAGATTCTCGTTGGAGGACATTACTTTCTTCGACTTTTATGGCAAACTCTCGTTCAAGTTTCTCTTTGATCTTCTTCAACTCAGTAATTTCCATTTGCTGATTTCTTAATGACCCGATGGAAGAGAAATTAAGTTCATGCAAAGTCCTGTTCTCAACCACAATCTGTTGCATTTCTTCCTTAAAACCTTGTTTGGAAAGCTCTAAGTCCTCCAATAGCTGAAGGCCGTGTTTTAGCTCCAAAGCAAGAGATCTTTGCTCCTCCTGTGATTGAGAATATGACATCTGTAGAGTATGCAAAGTAGATTCAATTTGAAGAAAACGAGATTGCTCCTCATGCATCATAGTCTGCAGCCTCTCCAACTCAGTATGCTTCTCTAAAAGCTTTTGATCTTTCATAGAAATCTTCTGCAATAGAACATCAGCCTCTAGCTGAAGAGATCGGTTTGATCTCTCCAACATATCACAATGTTTTTCAGCAGTCTTTAGTTTTTCAGCCCCAAACTCAATTTCTCTATGTAGTCGTTGAGAAACTTCTTGGGCATGCAAAAGTTCACTCTCCATTGTAGATATTTTCTGCAAGCACTGCTTGTACAAGGCAGCTACAGTCTCTTTCTCTTCATTCAGTTCAGCCAGATTTTTCCTCAATGATTTAACTTCCAGCTCTGCTCTTTCAATTTGCTCATTTAGCTTCCTGGAATTCTCCTCAGCTTGGGCAATCTTAGCCTCCAGAACAGATATCTTTTCAAGACATTGTTTATATTGAAGATGAGCAGTATCCTTCTCAACCTCCAATGTGGCAAGTTCTTTTTTGAGATTTTTAGCTTCAGTTTCCACTTTAGCAGCCCTTTCATCATTTCCCTTTGCTTCCAACTGGGCCAAAGATAACATAGTCTCCAGATTAGCTATCCTTTCCACACACTGCGTGTACTGAACTAGACCAGCATCCCTATCAGATTTAAGCTCTGCTAGGGCTTCTTTCAATATTTTGATTTCAATTTCAGCCTTGCTTGCTCGCTCATCTAGGCCTCCAGCATCTTTTTGTGCCTTATGAAGCTCTTTTTCCATTTCAGATAACTTCTCCAAACTCTTCTGATATTGAAGAAAGACAGAATCCTTGTCAGACTGTATATCTTCCAGAGTTTTCCTTAAGGTTTGAATTTCGCTTTCTGCTTTCTGTGCATGCTCAGACTCCCCATTGTTCTGGGCTGATAATTGAGACAAGCCAAAAATCTCGCTTAGTTGCTTTAGACCCTTTCGGTTTAGACTGTTTGCTGATTCTTCTGAACTCTCTCCATTCTTTTTTGAAGTATTTTGGATTGAAGAAAACCCAAATGCATCTTTCTGTAGGTCAACTGACTCCAACAATGCACGAATTGGATGTGGAATTTCTGGTGTGTGTGGCTCAGCTCCGGTGCCTGAAGAGCCACATGGTGAATCATCAGTCAGCAGGTAATGTTCTTGGTTGGGAAATGCTTCTGCCATGGTTTTATGGGCCTGCCGTAGCTCCACTGTTGCATGATCATACCTCTCAGCTAAGGCACGGTATGCTCGATAGAACTCCTCAACCAATTTCATGAGTTCTGGCCTCTTCTTATAATACATCTCTGCCCTCCTTGCAAACGAGTCTGCATCCTCTTCGATAAGCTTGATCATTGCTTTTACTTTGGCATCCATGTCTGCATGAAGTATAAACACTTAATAACATCACTTAAAGGTTACTGCATCATGGACTTTTATGAATTTTGTTAAGGGTAAATCACAGTATTTTGATGAAATTTGGCTTAAGAAAATCAGTCACAAGCAAGTGTGCATGGCAAAATAAAATGTATGGTGTGATCTAAAATTCACAATTCCCGGTTCCCGCAAATGTTTTCTAAAACTAAATGGCAATTTACATGTTTACATGGCTGGCTTTTTATGAGAAAAATCTACCAGGCAATGCATTCAGATTCTTCAAGCACAATGATAGACCTATAAGATATAGAGGAAAAAGGCAAACCTGTAAGATTTTCCTGAAGCCATTTTGAATTCTTGGGGCTAATATGGCTGTCCCACCACCAAGAATACAAGCGCCTGGACTCAGAATGTAACAAGGTTGCCATAACTCCAGCAACGAACAGCAGTATAGCTGGATTTGATTTGGCAAAAGCTTGATATGGGATCCAGGCCAGACTATCAGCCTATAGATTTCCACCACCAATCTTGATCTAATTTCAGACTCCTTAGGTCTGTTTCTCCTCTTATTTTACCTGACATCATAGTTAATTTAATAAAAAAAAATAGCTAAGACTCACTACTCTTACCACAAGAATATTTTACTTGTATTACCTGCTCAATTGGGTACACCTCAAGCACCTTATTGTTTATGGAATTTGTTGCTCCAGCAGCCCGCACAATTCAAAATCAGGGCAACTGCCAAAAAAATATAAAAGAAAAATAAATAAATAAACAAATACCAGAGAGTGTTCAAAAAATAAGTGAACAGTGAAATCAGAGGCAACACTCCACTCCTTAAATAAGGCAGAACATGGATCCCCGAATCCAAGAACATACATTAAACAGCTATCTCATTCTTATTCTACATTTTTTTTATAGAATAAACGGGAGAAACCAAGAGATGCCGAAGATGAACAGCAAAAATCACGCACCAAAGACCAAACAGTACAAGTTAATCTACCACAAACGTTGGTAGAATCGAATGAAAAAAAAAAAAAAAAAATCCAGTAAGCCATGACATTCAGAACATGATGTGGCAAACAAAAAGAAAGAGAAGAGTGAGAGAAAATAAAAAAAAAGGCTACAAACACGGAAAAGCAGTAAACAGTGACATCAAAAGGAAGACATTGCACATGAGTCATGTTATGATCAAAAACTAAAACCTCAGCAAGAAAAACCAAAACTTGAACAAGATCAAGAACTTGCCAAGTGAAACGAACTTGATGAACTATCCCAACACTCAAGTGAGAGGAAAACAGCAAACGAGGCAAATGGGCAATGAGAAAAGCTCAAAAATCAGTGAACTTTAACCCATTTCACATCATTCAGACCCCAAAAAATGGAATCTGGCAATGGGAACCTCGTATGAAGGTGTGGTAACAGAACACCTTACCCCATTTTCTCTCACCTGTTCTCTGAGGCACAAAGTCGCGCTTTTTCTCTCACTAGGATATGGGTTAGTGGAATTATATTCCGGGCATGCTGCTTCTGACACTCCAATGACTCCTCCCTATTAACTGTAAAAAGGACAAGTTTTGAGAGAGAGAAAGAAGCCAAATCAAAGGATGAAAAAAAGTTACTGCTTTGGTTTGTTCTTTTGATAATTTTCTCTTGTTTTGAAATAAGAGAATCTGTGGGCAATGTGAAATAATAATGGGATTACGCACTTAAATGCTGTAATTATGTCTTTGTTAAACGTAAATTAATGTTGATTGTCACGGGACGAAAACGGATTCCTCAGGTTTTTCGCTGTCTTTCATCGTTATTTTCAAATTTTGAGTTTAATGAGGAAACTAAAATTTGGCTAACCTACCCTTCCTTGTCCATTCTTTTTTCTACCCGTAAATTCCCCTCTGGTGTTAAATATTTCAATTTATTAAAAAAATATATGACTATACTCAATAGTCAAAATGTCTTCTTAACTACTAAAAAAAATAGTGTCTTCCAATTATAAATTGTTATCAATAAAAAATTTATTAATTTTAGAATAATTACTGTATAAATCATACTAATTATGATTTTTGGTTAATCTTATCTCTAGTTACAAAATAAATTAATACAAATTATGATTCTTTTTTATAATTATTAAATCCTATTTATATATATATATATATTTTTGGTACCGTAAGATAAAATGCTATTTATATTTCTACAATAAAAAAGAAATATATAATAAAATAAATAATGCAATAAAAATATAATACATAAATAACATTATTCTTTTATTATATGGTTTTAATATGATTTACTTTATTAAAAGTAATGATAAATTATTTTATTGTGGTATTAAATAAATGTTTCTCAAGCTTTTAATCAAATTTATATTGCGTTTTCTGATCACTTTTTTTTTTTAACATTTTTTCTAATCATTTAAATTATATAGTGTTATTTCTTCATTTTATCGTCATCATTATATACTTAAAAAGATTATTACTTCTGTTGAGCTAAGCATCACTCATTTTCCAATTAAAGAAGAAAAAAACATCACTCATTTTCAATCAACGAACGCACTTGGGAGATAACAAAGATTAAAAACACAAGGATTGCAATTATAACCTCTAAATCTAATGATACGAGTTTATAAGGTAAACAAAAAGAAAAATATTAAATTTCTGTACCGTTAAGTACTACGTACAAGGTATAGAATTATAATTTGATTACTGTTTTTTGCATCTTCAACCAAATAATTGTTATCTTGGTTCGTGCATATCCACCTTCGTGCATATACTTTTTGCGAAACCGACAAGTGGGTGGTGTTGTGAGAAAAAAGGAGAGCATATCAAATCAAATATCATATTTGTAATTTAATTAAAAAGTTATCTTGTTTTACATATCTACTACTTTCCATCATGCACACAGGTAATGTCACTTTCACAAAGAAAATGACTGAGATAATATAAATAGTGTATTACATATTCAATTTCAAAGTTTGGGAGATATATAATATAATATGCAGAGAATTGTTTCCAAAACTTAGTAACAGGCAATAAACAAAATGCAAGTCCTAATATTTATCTTCAAAGATGATAAAATGATATATGTTGTGAATGTGTGTTATTAATGTTTACAAATATTGAAGATGATAAGGCAAAAGGTGTTTGGTTTGTCTTTTAGGAAGAACTTTTGGTGGCGGGTCAGGGGTGGTAGTGGTAGCCAACTTTGCCGTCAATTGCACTATTCAGATTTGGCACAACTTAAGATCATAATAAATGCAATTAGAAAACCACATTCTACCCAAAGACAACATCAATTAAAGATAGGTTCAAATTAAGTATTCAGGAGGGTTCTTCTTTGAATTTATTATAATTTTTTATCTTTTAGAAATTAAATAAGATCAAGTACCCGACATTTTAAATGATAATATTTTGTGTATCATATATTTTTACGATCAAACCAATTTTAAATATGGTAGTAAAGAAGTCAAGTATATTGTAATTTAGACTATTTATTAAAAAGAACTTAAATATAAGTTATGCCTCTATAAATATAACTCTTGTTTTAGTGATTGTAATTTTTTTTTAGATCATTGATATTTTTTTAAATATAAGTTATGTTTCTATAAATTTACTTAAACATTGTAATTTGTGTGTGAAAATCTTTTACTGAAAGTACGATTATAAGCATTTACATAATTATAAATTTTAAAAACATGATATAATCTAATCATATTAATTTAAAATAATTTTTAATTTTTAATTTTCTAATTATGTGGATGTAAGGATGTTAAACTAGTTGGAGTTAATAATAAAAACTATAAGAATATTTTTAAAAAAATAAGCATATAAAAATGACAAAAAAAATATAATATCTGAAATAAGACAATTATTTATATGGACTTAAAATATATTAAAAGAGAGGGGGAAAAAAGTTGGAAATAGTATTTTTTTCGCACGTCAATATTTTTCATATTTTGTATTACTTTCTATAATTTTAACATAATATTTGACCAGTTCTTTATGTTAATTTTTGTTATTCATATTAACTTTCATTGATATACTCTTGATATTCATTTTTTAATACAAGCACGTTAGAAAATAGATATGCAATAAACATGTGTAAATAAAAAGGTATATTGATAATTGATATAGACGGGTTTAGAGAGGATGAGTAATGTGGCCTGTGTGGTGATCTGGTCCTTCTTCCTTAATTGTTTTTAAAAATTTAAAAATAATAATTTTAATTTTTTTTATAAATAATTATAACACTGATTTTTTTGTGTGCATAATATTGTGATTTATTAATACAATTATAATGTATTTTTCATTTTAATCTCACTAATATCTTCTTCATATATTTTTTTTTACTGAATTTTTTCTTCATATTAGTTTATGTTATTTGTTATAAAAGAGGATAATATTGTTGTTTATAATTAGAATTAAAGAAAATAATAATAATTTATTATATATAATTAAGAGCAGAGATAATAACAAAAATATATGTGAAAGAATAATTATGAGAAAACAAAAAGAAATTCACTCATTTTGTTATGAGAAATATTATTCATTTTATTATTATTTTTCTATGTTAGACACAAAATAAAACAAAAGCCACCATCCTCCTAGTGGGCTTCACTTGCACAATCCAGTAACACCTATCTTTACTCTACTCCTATACAAGTATGATTATCGCAGTTTCAAGTCACATGAAAAACATATAAGGGTAAGCTTATGAAATAAAGACAACGTATAATTACAACATCAAATTTCAACTTGAGATGAATAACAACATCACATCCAACTAATCAACAATAATACTCTTACAATTTGTAACATAAAACAACTCAACAACATTTAACACAATTGCAATACATCATATAACATTTATAATCAACTTACAACTTAAAGCAACATATCAACATCGTCTCACATCATAAACAACACAACACATATAAATATATTTAAAAATATTTTATCATGCATGTCAACTTATGGGGATCTCTTACAGTTGAAGTGAACAAATTAAGTGATTAGACTCTACTAAATAATAACGTTTGACTTATTTCAATCAGGTCAAGTATACAGCATCAGGCCTCATAGGGTGTCAAATATAGACAACTTAATTTGATTTCTCAGACTTTATTACTTATAATAGGAAATTTAGTGTTATTGTTCGGGTAGAACAGTTTGGAAACAATAGTGTTACATATATACAAAGCCTTACTACATCATAGTAGCAACACCAAAACAAGGCCACCACCAACGTGATCCTCCAATAGCTAATCAATCTCTCCTGTTAATCTTGTCTTGCTCTCATACCAAGTATGATCATAACAATTTCAACCACAAAAGGATAAGTTTGTGAATGAGTTAACAAATTATTCAACAACATAAGTTTACAGCAAAAAAACATGGATATCATATCAACATTCAATACCACATAACTTAATAACTTTCAACTTATCAACAACATTGTCATTGAAACAACACAACAACTTTCAACACCAACAATGTTATCAGCATAAACATCTTAACACAATTAATGCATTATCACGCATATCAATTATGGAGATCCCCTACAACAAAGGGTGAGTAGTTTAAGTAATTAAACTCTACTAAACCACAATGTTTAACCTATCATAACCAGGTCAAGTGTAAATAGTGTTAGGCTTGTCAGGTATACAACTTAAATTGATTTCTTAAGTTTCACCAGTTAAACTATGAAAGTCTAATATTATGATAACTTGGGTGTTAGCCTATCACGGTTTTAGCATGCATATCTAAGCCTCGTATGGAATTAGTCTATTGACTACTATTTAAATATCACGATTTTACCTCTCGACTTCATATTTTACTTAGTTGGTCACTTTATATACGTATGACTCGACTTGACCCATACAAATTCCACATAAAACCTGGAGAAAATAACTTTTAAAAAAACTACTCATTCAAAAGTCAACTTATTTACTAATGGGTTTTCAACTAAACTCTCAAAGCACCACAACTTATATTCATGTAATGAGATATTTTTATTTCTAAAACTTTACTCTCCTATATTTTTTATGTATCTCAACTAAGACATGCATATTCACCACATGTTTATCATCTTAACAACTTGATCAACTATAGACATCATAAACTTTACAATTTTACCAGCTATCAACTTACAGTTTAATTAGACAACATCTTACAACATAATCAACTTTCATTTATAGGAAACTTTAAATATCACCATACATCAATATTTATTCACACGATTCATCATACTTCAACCTCTAAACATCATTAGAATGTCAATTTATTTTAGCATATCATGCCTAATGCCAATCCACCTATGTCCGACGTGAATGAGGTAGAGAGTCTTTGTTGCTCTCATGCTTGGCATGGCCAAACACCATGTTTGACCTCATTTCAGGAAAAGAGCCTCTACCTAACTCACACCTAACATTTGACATCATTCATGCAAAGAGTTTCTATCTTGATCACACTAGACACCACTCAACTTGGGTCTGACATCACCAAATTATAGGCTTTCCTCTCTCCTCACACCTGATGTCATTTAACACATGCTCAACATAACCAAATCAGAGGTTTCTCTC